AAAGTCATGTGGAGCTGTTCTGCTGGTGTCGGGCAAAATGATACTGAAAGGCATCCGCTGGTCTCTAATTATTCACCCTTCTCTTCAGCTGAAATACCAAACGCCCATTCGAACGACAGATAGCAGCGACTGCACCCCACCAAAACCTAACCGAGCGATAAAGTTGTGGGATTAACTGTGTCTAACAATTACTTGAGTCTAACAAGTGGTCATGACCAAGTTCCAAATGCGGTGCGGGATATATTTGTTGTTCTATAAGTCTGCTCCAACACTTCCGACGCCACGGCGCCCTGCACAGCCCATTCGTCCTTATCAATTGATCTGCTGGAGACACGACTCGCCCGCTCTGCCAGCACACTGTAACAGTGCCCCTGCCCCGCAGTGCCGCTGATGATGGGCGTGGAAGGTCCGCTGCTGGGGTACGGCCTGCCGATGGTGCCGCTGAAAGCGCCACTGTCGCCGATCCACCTGGTCTCGCCGGGCGGCGCCGAGCCGGCCGCCAAGCCGCTCACTTGCATGCTGTGCGCCACGCCCGTGTCGGACGCCGCCGCGCTCAGCAGACATCAAGGGAGACGAGGCGGCGGGCGGGGGCGGAGGTGAGGCGCCAAGCGGGGCGAAGGCGGACGACAGACGACCGAATGAGAGGGCGCCGCCAAGCGCGCGGGCGCGAAGCAACGGCGAGGTGGCGGGGCGGCGGCGGCGGCCGGCGGCGCCGACTCGCCGCTGCTCTGCAGCCTCTGCGGCCAGCCGTTCGCCGAGTTCGAGCCGTACAGGCTGCACTTCCAGACGGCGCACCTGGACGGCGCGGCGCCGCCGGCGCTCGCCTGCGACCAGTGGCCAGCAGTTCGCCGCCGCCGAGCCGCTGGAGACGCACCTGGCCGCGCACCTGCGCGTCACGGCCGTGCGCTACGCCTGCCAGCGCTGCCAGCGCTCCTACCGGACGGCCGACGAGCTGCAGAAGCACCTGACGGACCGGCACGCGCAGACGCTTTACAAGTGCACCATCTGCCACAGCACGTTCGACACGCGCGTCGACGTGCAGGTGCACTTCGCCGTCAGCCACAGCGACGAGGTGCGCGTACACTCGTGCTCGGCATGCGGCGACGAGTTCGGCGACGAGCCGGCGTTCCTGCGCCACCTGCGCGGCACGCACATGAGCGCGGCCAAGTCGTACCCGTGCCTGCTCTGCGGCCAGCACTTCGAGCAGCTGAGCGCCTACAAGCAGCACGTGCAGTCCCACCAGCGCACGTTTCAGTGCAAGATCTGCGGCGAGGCGTTCTACGTTGAGTTCCAGCTGGACCGGCACGTGCAGGCGGTGCACGCGCACGAGCTGAAGCTCAACGGCGAGGCGCGGCCGCCTCCAAGAAGCGCGCCGCGGGGCAGAGGCGAGCAGCTGACGGCCGCCGAGCCGACAATGAAGTTCCCCAGCCTGGTGGCAGACCAGCATCGACGTGGAGCTGAACCCGGCATACCCGCCGGCGCGACACAAATGCAACATCTGCGACGACGTGCTGCCGTCGGCGCGCACGCTCGCCGAGCACAAGCTGATCCACTGCAAGGTAGTGTACAGCGACACGTGCGCCGTGTGCAAGGGCACCGTGCGCTCAGCGACCGGCTACCAGCCGCAATGAAGCAGCACAGCGCGCCCCAATTCACCGTGTCGTGCGTCATCTGCCAGCAGACGCTGGTGTCGGACGCCGAGGTGGCCATCCACGCCCGAGTTCACCTGCGCCGCTCGGCCGCCACGCCGCCGGCCGCTGACGCCGGTCGCTGCGCGCGCTGCTCCATCAAGTTCGAGTCGGCCGCCGACGAGGAGGCGCACGCGTGCAGCGGGTGCGTGCCGCCGCGCCGCGAGCTTTACCAGTGCCTGATGTGCCAGCAGACGTACTCAGACCGCGACCAGATCCGTGAGCATATAGCCACGCACCTGCTAGAGAACGCCAGCCACGCGTGCAACCTGTGCCAGCTGAGTTTTGACACGCCTCTCAAGCTGCAGATCCACCTGATTGAGCACAACTTTGAGGGCTGCGGCAGTTACAGCTGCTACATCTGCAGCGCGGTGTTCACCGCCGCCGGCGGTCTGCAGAAGCACATGGTGGAGCACGGTATCGAGGTCAAGCCGTTCGACTGCGAGCACTGCCACCAGCGCTTTTTCTTCCGCACAGAGCTTGACAACCACGGATTTCTGCACCGACTGGAGGGCTCCGTGCGGCGCGTGTCCGCGCCGTCGCCGCCGGCCGGGCGCGCCACGACGCAGCCAGGCGACGCGGCAGTGGCGCCACCCAGCGGCAGTGATGCACCGCCTTCTAGTGACGGTGACGGCGCGTCGCCCACCCGCGCGAATAAGAGCGAGGACGGGCCGCCCTCACACCCTCCGGCGGCGGAGGCGGCGGAGACGGCAGCGGCGGCCGACGAAAGCTCTGTCGCACCCTCACGGCCTGACAGGAGCCACACCGAGGCGGCGGCAGGCGGTGGCAGCGGCCGCTGCGGCGCCGGGGACCCGGCGGCCGTCCGGCCGCCCGTCGTCACCGTTCACACGGTGTAGCCAGCCGCAGCGCGTCCAGGGCTCTCGGTGCAGCCAGCAGAAACGTGTCCAGGGCTCTTTGCTAGCCCAGAATATGAACTCCGTCGGGATGGGCTGTTGCCTGCCGTGCAATGCAGTTCGTTTTGTCGTTAGTTTTATATTTATTGACCGCAGCTGGGCTGTTGGAATTGCTATATCACTTGTTGTCCACTTTAAATGTACTATGTGCATTTGCCTTCTCTAGGTTGGCTTGCACTGAATCTTGTATCATTTGCTATCAAGAAGAAACATGTTATGTGTGAATCTGGTGCTGGGAGCACAGGTCAAGGCAGTTGTACAAATGCATGTTTAAGTTCTGTAGGCACTTGTTGGTCAGGCTGCTTTCTGTACAAATTTGTAATAAAGGCACTAAACATTATCAATCTGTTACCAGCCATGCACTGGACCATTGGTGTGGAGATAAACATTCAAATGATTGAATTCCTGGGGTCCACCCATCAATCATGTTTCACATAAAGGAGTTTTTATAGAACATAACAAAAGCATGTGGGAGGGGTGAGGGAAATTTTGGACAATGAACATATTGCCCAGATATGGTTGCAATTTATGCTTAAATCCATAAAATCTAAATATCAAGACCAGATCCAGCCAACTTTCTATTATGACAAGCAATGTGTCCATAGCTGTTTTTTTCTTACTCTTTTTTATTTCTAGTTAAATTATGTCTGAATCAACATCACCTTTTCCAGAATGTATCTTTGACATAGCATAACCAGGGAGGTTTGCCCCGCAAGACAAATGGATGACCAGGGAAGGGGAATGTCCAAAATGTTTGACAAAATTTATGTACTGCTCTCTGCAGATCATAACTCTTCTGCGCCAAAGGAAGGTGCAGTGTAGGTGTACTTTCCTACCTAACGTTAGAAAAAATCACTGTACACCATTCGTCGTGTTTAAGGTGAAACATATCATAAATAATCTCAAAACAGGTAGAAGGATCCTCCTACCCTCAAATTTTAGTACCTACGATAGCGAGCTCCCAAGCGCCACATGCATCGCATCGCCTCGACTCCCCAGCGCCGTTTCTGCATTGTCATTGCGTAATTACAATATTTCTGCTTATCAAGAACCATAAAAAATGTGTGGGACCAGGGCAACAATAATTATGCAATGAAAATCTTTTCTTATCATGTTTAGGTATGTTTATGAAACACAGGATAAAATAGCCCAGAACATAGCCTAAACTAGCCTAGCCCAACCTAACCCAACCCAACCCAACCCAACCCAACCCAACCTCCCTGCAGATCAAATTTCATGGATTCTTGTTACCTTGGCCGTGTACATTTTTATGGTTCTTGATGCTGCTTGATGCACAGTAATGTTGTGACCGCATGCAGTAATGGTGCCGGTGTCGCGGCTGCTGTGTTTGCGGCAGTCGAACGTTCGGTATCGTAATTGGTTAAGTTCCAAGGTAAGAGTACAGGTGACCTGTTTTACAATTATGATACATTCTGCCTTAAAAATGATGACTGATGTGCAATGCTCTTTTGTAACATGAGGTAGGAAAGTACACGCTGACCGAAGGTGCAAGTGTAAGTGAGGTGGGGTGCCACCCACAAAAGATTTTGACAGCTTAACTAATGGTACTGCATAAAAGAAACAAAAGAAATGTAGGCAAAGGAAAAAGAAAATGCAAACAAGTAACAAAGATCAGAACACAAGCAAGCAAGAATGCACACAGTTCTGGAAGCCCTCTAGTTTCCAGGCTGTACACCCACAAAGTTTGTCTTTTTTTGGAGACTCTCAAGGTCACCCTGGTATCCATGACATGGTGACATCATTCAAATAAAATTTTAGATTAGCATAACCATCGCTAAAAACTTCGCTCCACGAACAAAATTGGCACAGCGACGAAACACAAGTACCAGCCTGCCAGACTGATATGGGGTAACACAGCATCCTGATTGTTAGTTAAGTGTACAAGATTGACAACATCTACGTTTCCCAAGCCTCATCTACCTAACGCTGAACGGGTAGGCGCTCGGCGCGCAATAGCGCAGGCAAAGACGACCCGTGCCGGAAGTTGTTTAGACCCCAAACTCGCCCATCACTAATTCCCATTCTTCATAGTAGTTCACAAAAGGAAGGGCAGAAGCAAGGGGTAGAAGCTAGCACCTGTAGACTTGGAATGCGCAGACACGACAATTATGGTGAATGTTGCTTTCCGTTTTGTGTGTGACGTCAGCATATGACGCAACGAGATATATACTCCGTAGAAGTATTCGCATTTATTAATCAATGAATAGTATATCACTAAGTATTATAATTTTATATGAAATCAGAAGCAATCACAATTTATTATGGCACTTTCGTTCTATGACACCACCTAGAAGGATCCGAAACGTAGACTTTTGTATCAGCTGTTCGTGGCCTTGATTCACATGCAACGCCAGGGAGCTCCATTCGGACGCGAGACGGCCGCGGGGGAAGGCGGGTGGTGGAGATCGTGTCGCGGTGTGGCGTGGCGTGCAAGGATTGCATTGGTGAATGGTGTGATTTTCAATCAGCTCTCCCCAAGAGCTGTTCGTGAATTAGCGGAGGATCGTTGCTTTGGGTATTTTCCTCTCGTCTTCAGCAACAGCCAAGATGAGCAACCAGTGAAATATCTCATTCTTGGGGCAACTTGGACTGGATGAGCTGGCAACATCAATGACCGCTGATGTGCAACTGAACTTGTAGCTAGAAGAACTTCAATCACATCTGAGGCGTTCTGTCCGTGAAACAGGCTAGCCTGTTGGACTTGCCATCTCATTTGTCACTTTTCCAATTGGTGTAAAATTGTATTGATGGATTGGTGGTGTGTGTGACTGAGGGAAATTATTATTTAGCTTTCTCAGTCAAGAAAATTTAAGTTTTCAAGTGCAATATTCTCTTATTGAAGATACTTTGGTGGTATTAAGATCTTAGTGCTTGTAATAATACCAAAATGTATAGCTTTTTTACTTCAAGAAGAAAGCGCACTATGTTCTATAAAGCATTCGGTGTTGTAATAGTGGTGTCATGCATTGTACTGTGGAAACGGAAAGGCTTTCTAAGAAGCAGTGGTGATAAAAGCATGGCATTGGAAGGTGGCATCTCAGTGGAAGAGTGGGATGGAAAAGCAGATGCTAGACAAAGTCAAAACAACAGAATGGAGAGGTCAGGAGACTCCCAGCAACAACTAAATGAGCTAGGTGGTCAAAATGAAGCTCTCCCTATCAAAAGTGTTTCAGACTTTGATGTTTTGGGTGGAGTGAAGCTGGATGATCTTGATGACAAGAGGAATGCATTTGGAATGTCCCATCAAAAAGGACTTGAGCAGTATGACAGTGACATTGAAATGGATCTCAAGAAGATAGTGCCAGGTGAGCTGCTTATGTTTCTTTTCATATATAAGTGTATTATGAACTGTAATGCTGTAGAGTACCATGACATATAGTTTTACAAGATCGGGCAGCTCAGTATATTGTGCGATCTTCATGCGGTCAAACCTGTCATTTGTTAGAGGGCTGCTGCAACTTTGTTTTCTGACCCATACAGGCTTGTATGTGTTATATATGCATTTGCAATCAGGCTTCCATTCATGATATTTGATCAGTTAAACATGTGCCTGGGTGGCCAGATGAATACCCTGCACCCAGGTGAGGGGTCAATTTGACCCCATCCTGAGATCTCAGAAACTAAGAGAGCTAGAGAAACCAAATTCATAGGGTGTGCTGGCCAGCACATGAACTCATTTATATCAAAATTGAGTGCTTTTAGATCATGACCTTCAGGTCAAACAAGATTCAACAAGGTCAAAATTCTAGGTTGATGTCCAGATCAGAACCCAGATACCTGCTCTGAGCAAAAGGCCACTGATGCCTGTTTATGATCAGTGACCTTGTTTGACATTTTGAAGGTCATGGTGACCAAAATAATATGAGTACTTTGGGTTTTACATTTGATTAAGTATTAAAGATTATGCTAGGCAGTATGTCCCTGAAAACAAAATGTTGACCTGGGTCATTTTAGGTCATTGACTGGCTGGGTGGACTGGTCATATTCTGATCTTTTAGAAGTAGGTGGAATATGTATGATGAGGTCTCTGTTAATAATAAATTTGAAGTGAGTGCCAGAAACCACCTCATACAGGGAGCTCTCAAGTAAAAAACAAGTTGGACTGTTGAACCCTAAGTTGAACCTTAAGTTGGAAGTTGGACCCTAAGTGAATTGGAATTGGTTGCCCATACTTGGAATTTTCATACTCCCAGAACAAGCATGCCATGGTCTTGAACAGCAGTGGCAGCGTGTAAGCAGCGATGTTTGGCGAACGACGTCCTCACAACCGCCAACGTGTGGTTGACCTTCCTTCGAAAAGCCTCCGCTGTCCGCGCAGGCTTTTGTCTGCACGCGGAACGTAGCCTGTGATCTGTACGAAGATTCCGAGGTGCGTCTCAGTGTGTTTGACCGCGATTGTTACGTCGTGTTCACGGAATAGGTCAGTCTCGGGTTGCAATTGCCGATATGCATCACTTTGCAATATGTTGTGTTGGAGAGGAGCAGCCACTCCTCGGACCAACTGACCAGGGCGTTGACCCATCGTCACTGCCAGTCACAGTCCACCCAGCCTGAGCAGGGCGACCCGTGGTTCCATCCTGAGTAACTGGGATGGCAGTGGTACTACCCGTCCTGTCAGGGCTTCCAGTACCCCTAGGATCCTGAGCGCGTTGGCTGGTATTACCTTCATAGGCAGCACCTAATACAGGAGTGGGGGAGGGAGGAGGGGGCGGACCACTTGGGGGGTTTTGGGGCGTGGCGCGGGCGGATCAGCCCGGGTAATGCCATCTGTTCCGTCTGTCCCTAAGACGAGGTTCGTGTGTTGATCATCAAAGTGTTGCAGAATGGTGCGATACCCGGCTACAGGTGACATGAACGTCACCTGCGCTGGTGGCACTCGTGCGTCACCAGCTGCCACGGAGAGGAGGAGGAGACATACCTTCCAGTTTTCCCCAAATGGTCCGTGCCCCCTTCAACGTGCCTGTCGAATTCACGGATTTTTCATCATTTTCCATTTATAATGCCACTTTCTGTTCAGGCTAACCCCAATTTGAACCGCACTCGCCGGTTGTTTCCAGTTTGACCGCTCCATTTGAGGTTTGACCCCCCCCCCCCCCTTCCTCCCCATCATCTCTGGAACGTGGTTCACCCACGACAGGTGATGTCAGCTGAACGGAATACGTTGTCCGCGGAGGCATACAGGTGACGTCACTCCACACAAACACGTCAGAAACAATCCAATCGGTCAAACTGGCAGGTGAACATAACCAGGTAGTGAGAAACCATCCATGAATGCAAAAGACCGTGCTTCAGATTGTTCAAGCACACTAGCATACTGACGAACAGCGGTATCTTCAGTTCGCTGTACCCACAGAGCCTTCAAAATTTGTAGAACACTTCAAAACAGCATTTTGAATTTAACGTTTTGAATTTCAAGGGCCATTACTCGGTCAATGTTTGAGATATTGACGTTGCACGCACGCACGGAGATGTTTGGCAGCGTTCGCTACTCATTACTCGAGCCTGGAGGTGAAGTCTAGTTAACGCCTGACCTGTGGCCACCCCGGAAGGTCGCTTTGAAGGTCATCTGTAGAAATGGTGCATGAAAACGTACAAAATACCACATGCTGATATCACCATCCATTTTTTTTTTAATCTAGCAAAAACTGGCTAGGGGGGCCGTGAACTGTTAGCTTCTAGCGAATGGCCGATTAGTCGCCTAGGGGCAGATTTTCGTCAATCCATGTTCTGAGACTGTGCGGAGCCACCTGGCGCCGAGCTGTGTTGGCGGCGTATTGGTGGTCGCCCACTCTCATCCTTCTGGTAGGCTGGTCGGCACGCACCCTTCCTCGACCCCGTATGGTAGTAGAGGTCCGGCCGGCGACGCTGGTGGGCTGGGCGCCGGTCCCAGTACAGCTCCGCCGCCACCGGGGAACGCACCGGTAATGTGGAGCGTCAACCGCTCGCCTGCGTCGCGATTCCGGGACCGAGGCCAGACAGCACCGAAACCCTACAATCGCGTTCTACAACAACCGTGATCGCGATCACGGTTCTAGATGTCGCGCTCGCGGTTTCGAAACACATGGGAAAGTATCAGCGGCTGAGGTGGGTGCTAATATGTTGGCAGCTTTTCTGAAAATGTCTCGGAGCGGTATTTCCCCAGACAGAAGGGTTTCGCTGTCGTCCAACATTCCGTTTGACCATTTGAGATAAGCGGCGGGCGGGGGACTGGTCAGGCGTGTTTGCAGCGCGGCAGCGGGGCCGGCGCGGTGCGGATGGTGCCACGGCCCGGGGGATGGCGTCTGTCCCGTCCGCTGACGTCACGGGCCGGCCGACGGACGAGCGGGTGATGACTATCGCCAACGTCCGCATATCCGCTGAGACCGCAGCGGACGGTGAGAGAGACGATGGCGGAGGGGGGGGGGGGGGGGGGGGGGGGGGATTAACAGAGAGCCGCTGCGCGCGTGCGCCGGGTCGCACGCCTGCCCTTGACGTGGCGCACGTTAAGAGGATGAGCGAGCTTGGTATGGGGCCGCCACGCTGCCGCTGCCGCTGCCGGGGAAAGTGAGAGCTCACAGGACGGAGCCGCAGGAGGTGCCCCGGCCAAGCGGCGGCGATTCCGGGACGGCTGTCTGCTGCTGATGGTCGCTTAGCAACATACCGTGAACGCTCCCCGGGGCCTCTCCCACAATTTGTCAGACGGAGTGCGATGAAGGGCATTACGCATCTGACGGAGCCATCGGTTCGCCCACCTCTGGGAACCAGTCGTTTTGCTAAACGGCTGTGTAACAGAGGCGCATGGTCTCGGACAGTCGTGGTGGCATCGGTAATGCCTAGACGTACAGCCGTAGCGGTAAACGAGGTATTTAACAGACTGGCTATCGGCGGCAAGTCCGCTCGCGAGTACTTTGGGTAACCTACTTCACACACACACGTGCACGCACGCACGCACGCACGCACGCACGCACGCACGCACGCACGCACGCACGCATATATATATATATATATATATATATATATATATATATATATATATATATATATATATATATATATATATATATATATATATATATAATATCCGTACAGTGGTGAGTGACTGCCTCCAGGCATTACGCAGAAAGAAAAGTCGTTGCGTTTAGTAGTCACAGCTACGACAGTTACTGCACGCTACATCTTTTTTCTGCCAAGATTCCAACTTGCATTGTTTCCCACCGCCCCTCCCCACCTCATAAAGAGTCGTCCTCCGGGCCCCGCCGAGAGACGTCCGCAACTGGGTAGTGGTACCCGCGCTGCTGTTGGCGCCAAACACCTAGGGCGCCCTGCGCCTCGCAGTCGCTCTGAGTCGGTAAAATTTTGACGGAATGCGTCCTAGTTGGGCCGGAAATTGCTCGTACTTTTATATATATATATATATATATATATATATATATATATATATATATATATGTGCGTATATATAATGGAGGACAATTAGGCAATGACCGTGTGTTTCTGTTGACCAGGTCTTGGTGCGGATGGTGAACCAGCCCACTTGTCTGGAGCAGAGGAGGCTCACGCCGAGGAACTGATGAAAAAAGAGGCCTTCAACATCGTTCTTAGTGACAAGATTTCGCCCAACCGCTCCGTGCCAGATGCCAGAAGCAAACTGTGAGTGCTGGCCTGTTTGCTATCAGGCGGAGGGAGGCGCGGGCATAATCTGCGCTGGTTTTGTTGGAGGCTGATGCTCAATGTGTCCAGTTTTGGACTGCTGGTACAGTGCTGAACGTGTGGCAGATACCACGTAAGGAAGGGAGCGTCGCTTTGATGTGGATCGATCCTCCGCGCTCTGACATGTGCTTTGGATGCGGGATCGGCACAGACATACAAATATCTTTTCCTGTGGCGCAGCGCTGCGGCGGTGTCGCTCAGTTCGCGGCTTAATCGGCGCAAATGGCGCCCTGGTAGCCAACTGGGTCCACACTTTGCTGCTATGATGACCCTGTGTTCTTATTGTGAGACTTTTAGGCTCTAGGTTACATATTGGTGCCTCAGATCCGTTTTCAATATTTTAGAAACCCTGTAAAAAGGACTGGGACCTTCGACCTTATGAGTTCGCTGCCAATTCAGTGTGTGGGAGGGGGAGCAGAAACATAGCCCAAAAGCTCCCTCCCCATCCCTTCCTTGCCTACGTCACTGCAGTGGTAACCCTTCGCTAGGCATTACGCACAAAGAAAAACCCCCGCAGTTGGCAGCCATAGCTACGGCAGTCACGCCGCGCTACAGCCTTTGTCTACGGAGATTCCCCCCCCCCCCCCCCTCCCCATAAAAGCCGTCCTCAGAGCCCCGCCCTGAGTCCCGCCGAGGTAACGTTCGCAGCTGGGCGGTATTGTCCGCGCAGATGTCCTCGCCCAACACCTGAGAACCCCCTTGCGCCTCACAGGCGTTCTGAGTCGGTGAAATTTCAACGAAATGCGTCACAAGTTACCGACCGGGAATCGCTCGGGGACATGCTGCAGTTAACCCAAGCGGGCTGCAATGGCGTGCACGAGTTAATGTTGCGTCTTGTTGTTCGTGGGTGTCAGACTCCATAAGGAGTGGTTTGCTTGATATGCCAATCTGCAAACATTGGCTGTCAACGGCCCGACAATCAACGGAGCCCACATCCTGGCGGAAGTCGGCTGCACCTCATTTTGTGCGGCAAGGAACCGATGTCCTACATGCATTCCTTATAAAAAGCTTGTGAGGCATATATACCCTCATCACGCGCCCGGTTGGCCGGTGGAATACGCTTAGTTCGGGCGGGGGGGCTCAAGTTGACTTCGAAACCTAAAAAAAAGCCAGGAGAGCTAGAGACAACAAATGAAAAGGATACCTTGAGCTGTATGTTGCATGTGGCGTGCTGTATGCGTATGTATGTGAGCTAATGGAGCCGTACATTTGTCTTAATTTGAGGTTCCAAGGTCATATAAGTTCAAACTCCAGATTGCTGTCCAAAGTGCCCCCAGACCTTCTCATGTAACTGCGGTGAACCTAGCTGCCTGTTCTAAGCATAAGGTCACTGGTTCAAACGTAGGTCAAATAACTTGTGTCACCTTAAGAAGGTCATACTGACCAAACCTGTCTTGATTTTTGCTTTTTAATGAGCGTCAGTGATTGCGTTTGGTGCATGTTCCCAAAATCGAAATTGACCGGGGTCATTTTTGTTCAGTGACCAATCCTCATCTTGAAGAAGTCAATGAAAGATGTATGATGCGGCCTCTATTATTATTAATGAATTCGAAATGAGCACTGGAAATTACTCCATGTAGAGGGCTGTCGAGCAAAAAGCATGTTGGATTTGACCTTGGTCTGACTTTCGTGCATCACCCCGGGTCAATGAAATTGGTTAATTCAATTGCTGTGTTTCGTAAGAAACTAACTCAGAGTTGCATGGCTTCAACTATGACTCCGTTGTTGCATCAGATTGAACGATATCCTGGAAATTTTGCTCGCTGAATCCATAACCTGACTGATCTGCCTTGCGTCAGTGACCTGACAAGGTACATGCAAATTTTGACATCAAACGATCCGCTATTGCATTTTCTACAGCTTGGCAAAATCTGGCATGGCTACGTCGCGCCGTTCGGAAATTGTTCCGGAAAAAACACCGTGGGTCAAATGGGCTCCCACCCGAGCGCCTGTTAAGGGATTGCGGTAGCCAAAAACGGTTGCTGATTTTATTGTTCCCAAAGCTGGCGGTAAATTAGGACCCCTGAAAGCAGTTCCCGAACCAATTGGGAACAGGTGAAACATTGCCAATTTTGCGTTTTGTCGTCGAACGCTGCTGCTGCGTATTCGTCTCCCTCTGAGTCCAGTTCAGACCGAAATGTGCAGAAATATTGCAGCGTAGAGAGAACACCCGCGACAACAGATGGGTCATGGTAGTCAGGTCTCTGTTTGCTGCATATTTCTGTTGAAATGCTTGTGGTTCTCAAAAAGCCTTGTTTTTTATTGTTCTTGGAGCGAGTAGCTGATTTTTATTTCAATCAACAGTTTTCAGTGTAAACATCTCAAACATGACCACTTCCGTGCTTTGTCCTGGACCGTGGCTCCTACTAGATATGCCGAATGTGATGCTGCTCTTATGGAAATATAGCTCCGAAACGGACTAGAAAACGTGCATAAATCGTGAGGCTATACTTAAATTTCTACGCATTTGGATATAACGTTTGCTGTTTTGTATCAGGCCCAGCCTTTTGAAGTGATCTCATTCTCGCCGGGTAGGATTAGCTAAAGCATATTTGTAGCATGGTCTCCTTTGCATTTCCTGTCGGCTCGAACCCACCTTTGAAAATAATTCGGGAAGCTCACATTCAGGCTAAAAGGACGTGGTTGTACCAGGAGGGAGGCCGTCATGTGGAACGTATTAAAAGATGCGATTTACTGGTGGCCACAATCGATTCCCCAGTCACTTTGTTTTCTTAGAGTGCCTCATACAATATGCTAATCACCAGGAAATCGCCCCGCCTATTAACGAACAATGCCAAGCGATTTCATAACCACGCCTACTCCTGCCCCTCACTGGGGTGAGTGTGGTCTGTTTTCCTTTCAGTAACTGTCATCCACCTGCTTGCGTGTTCCAATCGCGCGTGTTGGAAACGTTCGCGAAACGCTGCGTGGTCGTCTATTACAATGTCGCCGGAGCCGTCTTTACCCGTCTGGCCGTACCTGCACGAACCCGCGCAGCCGTCAGTCTGCTCTCGGGTTTCACGATCTCCCCCCCCCCCCCCCGTCCCTCTCTCCATCGTTCACCCAGGCCTCGAGGCGCACCCCGGACGACACTGCGGCCGGCATTGCGCAGACCGCGCGCCGTCGGGCGGTGTGGTCGTCAGCGCTGTGTGGCGGGCGAGACTGACGGTGACACGTGGGGGCCCAACGTCGCAGGTGGCCTGGGTCGGTGGTGGAGGGGGTGGTGTATCGCAGGCGGGCGAACGACTCAGGGCTGGAACGGCCGGGATTGAGGATGGGGCGCTCAGAGACACCGAAGCGGTGTCATCAGCTGCCATGCGAAACCAACCGTTGTTATTTGAGATAGCGAACGTGAGGCGTGACGGACACGTACACTGCGTTCTGCGTCACGTGACGTCACAGTTATCAGATTGCCAACATTTGCTGTCAATAATAAAGCGGCTTGATACTCCCAAGTACATTTTCGTGAACCTGGGAGCTGAAATTGGCATAGAAAGGAAAGCAACATCCCTCGTTTTCATTGACAACTGCTCCGTCTATCTTCGCTCAACCCCACGTACCGTCATACTTAGTGGCCCCATTGTGCCTCGTCTGGTCGGTGACGTTTGTCTCGTGACGCTCGAACAGCCCGCACCCGCGGCACGTTCTCGTTCCAAATGCGGTCATCCGACCGCGCAGGTGGGGGACGTTGCGATACTTCGCGTGGCACCTGACCAACATGATCGCACTCTCACCCGACCCCCAGTGACTCTCTCCCTCGCTCTCCCGGCAGGTGTCTAGGCCGACAGCACGACCACGACCTGCCCACAGCGAGCGTCATCATCATCTTCACCAACGAGGCGTTCTCTTCACTGGTGCGGACCATCCACAGCGTCATCAACCGCACTCCGGCGCGCCTGCTGAAGCAGATCATCCTGGTGGACGACTTCAGTGACAGAGGTTAGTCTATGTCCCATTCGGTTAGTTTGTCGGTTGGTAACTCAGGTAGCGAAGCCAGTCAGGGAGCAAACTGATCAGTTACTTAATACTGTACTACGTCAGATCCTGCTCGACCTGATCAGTTAGGTAGTCAGGCAATAAAACGCATTTTTCCGAAATTGTGCATGTCAGCTGCACCGCCGATCAGTCTATCGGGGAATGTCAGCCGGACCGCCGAGTAGTCTGTCGGGAGTGTCAGCCGGACCGCCGAGTAGTCTGTCGAGGGTGTCAGCCGGACCGCCGCTCAGTCCGTCGAGGGTGTCGACCAGACCGCCGATCAGTCCGTCGGGGGTGTCAGCCGGACCGCCGAGTAGTCTGTCGGGGTGTCAGCCGGACCTCCGCTCAGTCCGTCGAGGGTGTCGACCAGACCGCCGATCAGTCCGTCGGGGGCGTCAGCCGGACCGCCGAGCAGTCTGTGGGGGGGGGGGGGGGGGGTCAGCCGGACCGCCGGTCAGTCTATCGGGGTGTCAGCCGGACTGCCGATCAGTCTATCGGGGAATGTCAGCCAGACTGCCGATCAGTCGTCGGGGGATGTCAACCGGACCGTCGATCAGTCCGTCGGGGGATGTCAGCCGTACCGCCGATCAGCCTATCGGGGAATGTCAGCCAGACTGCCGATCAGTCCGTCGGGGGATGTCAGCCAGACCGCCGATCAGTCTATCGGGGAATGTCAGCCGGACCGCCGATCATTCCGTCGAGGATGTCAGCCGGACCGCCGATCAGTCCGTCGGGGGATGTCAGCCAGACTGCCGATCAGTCCGCCGGAGTGTATCCGTCCCGCGTTCCTCCGTGTGGCCGTCGGCGGCCCGCCGGCGCCGGCACGTGCAGCCTTTCCCGGCGCCCGATGTGGGCCGCGCCAGGTGCGGCCCGCGCGTCTCGTAATGGTGCCGGCCGGAGGAGGTCCGCTATTCGTCCGCGCGCTGCCGCCGCCGCCGCCGCCGCCGACGCGCGCGCGAGCCTCGGCGGCGCATCGGAGCGTGCCGCTGCCGCTCCCACCGCGCCTCTGGCAGCTGACGCCGGCGGCGGTGCGCCGACCTTCGCCACGCGACGCGGACGGCCGCCGGTGCCACCCCGCCGCCGGGCGGGCGGCGCGTGTTATCGGCCGATTAGGCGCGTCGGGAGCCGGTCCAGCCGTCGACCTTGCCGCTTCGGGGCGATCCTCCAGTGGTCAAACGGGACCCGGCCGACACGCACAGTGCGCTTGTGACAGGTGGCACAGGGAAATTGCGACCACAAGCGGCGCCCGCCCGGCAACGAAGCCGCGACGCTGCGGCGGGCGGCACGCGCGCGGGCGCCTTCTTCATGCGAGGCCGCAGGGACGCATTCTCCTTTTTTGTCCTTGGTGTTGCGATAATGTTTTTCGCCCTGTGGTTTTTCTCCCTGTTTATGGTTACGTTCGTTTGGGTCACACAGAAGCGTGAAGATCGAGTAAAGGCATCACATGGCGCAATTCGTGCGGCAGCGAGGTTGGTTGTGCTGCTGGCTTGAAGAGTTGCAAAATTTAGACCATTGCTATTTGTGTCGGACGGCGCATCAACTCAGATGGTCATGGTCCAGGTGGCGACTGGTTTTCCGCCGTTACGACGCCTCGCACGGCGGCGGGCCGACCGGGATGGAGTCGCCGGTTGACACAGATCGGTGCTCGCCACTAGACCAGTCCCGATCAGGGCCGGCGCCACCGGGGCCGACCGCTCGACACGGGCCCGCTCGCCAGGCAGCGCGCGGACGGGCGCGCGCCGCTCAGCAGTCTGCTGGGACCGACCGCTTGACACGGGCCCGCTCGCCGGGCAGCGCGCGGGCAGGCGCGCGCCGCCCAGCAGTCCGCTGGGGCCGGCCGCTTGACACGGGCTCGCTCGCCGGGCAGCGCGCGGACGGGCGCGCGCCGCACAGCAGTCCGCCGGGGCCGACCGCTTGACACGGGCCCGCTCGCCGGGCAGCGCGCGGACGGGCGCGCGCCGCTCAGCAGTCTGCTGGGACCGACCGCTTGACACGGGCCCGCTCGCCGGGCAGCGCGCGGACGGGCGCGCGCCGCACAGCAGTCCGCCGGGGCCGACCGCTTGACACGGGCCCGCTCGCCGGGCAGCGCGTGGACGGGCGCGCGCCGCACAGCGGTCCGCCGGGGCCGACCGCTTGACACGGGCCCGCTCGCTGGGCAGCGCGCGGACGGGGCGCGCGCCGCACAGCGGTCCGCCGGGACCAACCGCTTGACACGGGCCCGCTCGCTGGGCAGCGCGCGGACGGGCGCGCGCCGCCGAGCAGTCCGCCGGGGCCGACCGCTTGACACGGGCCCGCTCGCTGGGCAGCGCGCGGACGGGCCCGCGTCGCGCAACGGTCCGCCGGCGGAGACTGGAGCTCGCAGGCAGACGCGCTGCCGGCAGGTTCCGGTAATCGAGGCGAACTTCTGTCGCCTGGGGCGTGAGCGATCCGTCACTGGGGTGTTCGGTTGGAAGCTCGGTAGATTTTCAAGTGTAGTTTCTGGTTTAGTTTCCGGCTTGTTTTCTCTAGTCTCTTGTGATCGAACACTGGATCGGTTTTCGCCGCCAGACTTTCTGCCGATAGGACGTCTGTTGAAGGGAATATCTTAATCGAAAACAGTGAGGCAAGCATCATATATGATAAAACAAACTCATTTATAACTGTGAGTATACTTTCGAGTGGAAAGAGGCTACTCTTGACAGCACAATTCTCTGTTTTGTAAATATGCTGCTCAATGCGTCATAGTTTGATTACGTCGTCGTACCTTGCACAACATTGGTTGGAAGATAATGGACGGCTGTTAGATCTGGAAATCGTGCCCACGAACGCCACGTATGTATGAACGCCTTAACAAATATGTTGTCTGCCTTTCTTGGCGCATGGATCATGGAATGATGGGATTTTAATGACGTTATTTTAGCGTCATGAATGCCAAGGTGACTGAAATACTTTCCCCGTTATACCCTCCCCATTTTTTGCGGGCGTGTAGTTCAGAAACTAGAGGCTGTCAGAAAGGTCAGGATTGTGAACAGCACCGAAAGGTCTATGAGGTGCCTGTTCAGTCCGGAACCACATATGCTCGTGGAACACTTTCTTTAAATATCTCGTTTACCGCTATATCATGACTGTGCATCTTAGCATTACAGATGCCACCACGACTGTCCGAGACCGCACACCTCTGTTTCACAGCCGTTTAGCATAACGACTGGTTCCCAGAGGTGGGCGAACCGATGGCTCCGTCAGATGCGTAATGCCCCTCATCCCGCTCCGTCTGACAAATTGTGGGATAGGCCCGGGGGGGCGCTCACGGCATATTGCTAAGCGGCCATCAGCAGCAGGCAGCCGTCCCGGAATCGCCGCCGCTTGGTCGGGGCGCCTGCTGCGGCTCCGTCCTGTGATTTCTCACTTTCCCCGGCACCGGCAGCGGCAGCGTGGTGGCCCCATACCGGGCTTGCTCATCCTCTTACCGTGCGACACGTCAAGGGCAGGCGCTGCGGCGTGCGCGCGCAGCGGCTCTCCGGTAATCCCCGCTCCCCCGCCCCCTCCTCCGCCATCGCGTCTCCCACCGTCCGCAGCGGCTCTCTGTTAATCCCCCCCCCCCTCCGCCATCGCCCCTCTCACCGTCCGCTGCGGTCTCAGCGGACGTGCGGACGTTGGCGACTGCCATCACCGGCTCGTCCGTCGGCCGGCCCGTGACGTCACCGGCTGGTCCGTCGACCGGCCCGTGACGTCAGCGGACGAGACAGATGCCATCCCCGGGCCGTGGCGCCATCTGCCGGGCCGTGGCACCATCCGCACCGCGCCCGCCCCTCTGTCGCGTCCCAAATGCACCTGACCGGTCCCCCGCCCGCCGATTATCTCAAATGGTCAAACGAAATGTTGGACGGCAGCGAAACCGTTCTGTCTGGGGAAATACTGCACCGAGACATTTTCAGAAAAGCTGCCAACACATTAGCACCCACCTCAGCCGCTGATACTTTCCCACGTGTTTCGAAACCGCGAGCGCGACATCTAGAACCGTGATCGCGATCACGGTTGTTGTAGAACGCGATCGTAGGGGTTCGGTGCCGTCTGGCCTCGGTCCCGGAATCGCGACGGAGGCGAGCGATTGACGCTCCACATAACCGGTGCGTTCCCCGGTGGGCGGCGGAACGATACAGGGACCGGCGTCCACCCACCAGCGTCGCCGGCCGAACCTCTACTGCCATACGGGGTCGAGGAAGGGTGCGTGCCGGCCAGCCCGCCAGAAGCATGAGGGTGGGCGACCACCAATACGCCGCCAACACAGCTCGGCGCCAGGCGGCTCCGCACAGTCTCAGAACATGGATTGACGAAAATCTGCCCCCAGGCGACCAATCGGCCATTCACTAGACGCCCCCTCCATTCACTAGACGCCCCCTCCATTCACTAGACGCCCCCAGAGTTCACGGCTCCCTGGCAAGTTTTTGCTAGATTTTAAAAAAAAAACGGGCAGTGATATCGGCTTGTGGTATTCTGTACGTTTTCATACATCATTTTTACATATGACCTTCAAGGCGACCTTCCGGGGTGGCCACAGGTCAAGTGTTAACTAGACTTCACCCCCAGGCTCGAGTAATGAGCAGTGAATGCTGCCAAACATCTTCGAAACTTGGCACATTTTGCGTGAAACCATGACGTATACGTGTATGTACATATATATATATATATATATATATATATATATATATATATGTATATATATATATATATATGTTACATTTGCGTATATATACACATAAATATATACTTGTATATACCTATATATGTGATATGCTCCTGCTCCAAGCGTGCGCTCAAAGTCAATATCTCAAACGCTAACCGAGTTATGGCTCTTGAAATTCAAAACGTTTAATTAAAAATGTTTTTTTGGAATGTTCACGAATTTTGAAGGCTCTGAGGGTGCAGCGAGCTGAGAGTTTTCCACTGTTCGTTAGTATGCCAGTGTACTGGAGCAGTTTGAAGCA